CCCCAACCCCCTGATTGGCCCTGCTCTGTGCGTGACAGGGGGTGGCACCGCAACCTCCCCATCGACCCTGCCTTGAGTGTGACAGGGGGCGGTGCCCCAACCCCCCAATCGGCCCTACCCTGAGCGTGACTGAGGGTGGCATCACAACCTCCCGATCCGCCCTGCTCTGTGCATGACGGGGCGGCGCCCCAACTCCCCAATCGGCCCTGCTCTGAGCCTGACCAGGGGCTGCACTTAGGGATTGGGCCTGCCCTCTGCCACCCGGGAGCAGGCCTAAGCCAGCAGGACGTTATCTCCCGAGGGGTCCCAGACTGCGAGAGGGCACAAGCCGGGCTGGGAGACCCCCCCCTCCCCTGCCCCCCGAGTGCACAAATTTTTGTGCACCGGGCCTCTAGTCCTATATAATAAAAGGCTAATATGCAAATTGTCCCCTTGACCAGGAATTCAACCGGGAGTTTGACCAGGGGGTAGGGCCCCTCTCCCTGGCTGGCTCTGCCACTGATCGGCCCCACCCCCACCCCAATAGGGGGCAGGACCTGCCCACCAACTGCCCACGGCCCCACCCCCTGCCGTCCCGGCCCAATTGGCCCCAATTGGGGCGGGTCAGCTGGACCCTACCCATGCACAAATTTGTGCACCGGGCCTCTAGTTTGCACATAAAATTAACATCAGAACTGTCGTGAGTGTTGATTGAATACTAATCTGTGCTGGGAACTGGGGGATACATGGAGGTGTCAGAATGTCAGATAGTTCTCGTCTTATCGGCGAAGATGGCAAGATCCTCCGTAGTTTAGTAAGGACTGTCTGGTGTAAATAGTAGTTTCATTGCATAATAGCAAAAAAAGGCAGAGGGGTCTACATGAGCAACTGACTGCTCCCTAAGTTCCAGCCAGTGCCCTTCCAGTGGGAGTGACTTTTTTAGGCGTGACTCCAGTCGAGCCAGAGGGACATTCTGACTTGGTTACTGTGAGGTGTAAAGATCACAGCTGTGTTGAGAATAAAGTCAGAAGTGTGGGGAATGCAGCTGAGTGATGAGGCCCGCGGGGAGAGGCGGGGGCGCAGGTCCCAGACAGGCCCCTCCTCACTTGGGAGAGGGAGAGGGCTGAGGTCACTCGTACTCTTTTCTGACGGGGTAGACGCACTGGGTTCACCACCAGGACTATCTCTTTACCACCATCACGAAGAGCCTCCTTGTTTCGTGTTTCACATTCCCGATGGATGTAACCCGGTGATGGGTCAGATTTTTGGCATCCCTGTGGCATTTGTACAGGGCATCACATGAAAGCAACAGCTTCTTGGCAGGAGAGAGGGACGGGGAACAGCTGCACCCACAGATGATGTCTGAGCTCGTTTCAGTCATTTTCAATCTCACATCATCCAACTTTTACCAAAACTGCTATTTTCCAGTAGGATAGTTGAGACTTGTTCTCTTTCTTTTGTTGCCTCAGTTTACCTACCAGGAAGCAGACTGTTGGACACAATAGGTGATGGAAGTAGAGGAGATGGGAAGAAGAGGGCTTAGAGTCCATGATCTCTCATGTCTCATAGTAAATGACTGCAGGCTGTTGTTTGTACCAGTCAAACCCTGCACTAGCGTTGCAGCTACAAGAGAAGGAGCTTCGCATTTCCTGGTCTTTTGTCCCAGAGCACGTGCAAGGTGCCTGTGGATTAACTGCATTTGCACCCTGGCTGGGACAGGGGAGTCAA